TTTGGAATGTTGGTACTCTTGTCTTCTCTATGATATACAACAAATTGACTGAAATATTTACCTGTTAAAAATACAGTCAAAGAGTGATTCTCTTATTTCTGGTTATTTCTCCTCAACTCCGGTCAATTCTACTGACCCGTTAACATTTTTCTATTTTCCTCGAAGCTTTTTATTATAGGCAATAAATGTAGCACAAAACGAGAGTCTGTGGCAAGACGTGTTAATTTGGAGAAACAAGTAAGTGTTCCTCGTTCCCAGTCTACCTCTTTCATAATTCAAGCAATAAAGCCCGCAAGGAAATATGGGAATCAATGTAAACAAAAACCTGCGGTTTCCTAGAAAGGTGACGTAATTGAATGAAGGATACTGAGAAAGATACTCCATTAACTTATTACGTTCTCACATCAACATTTAAGGTGAGTTTGACCTGAAGAAGTTATACAATGGCATTATAAAACGCTTCAAGAGAAATTGTGTCAAGTAAGCCGCTTTTGCTTTTGCGCTTTTTGGGGTAAAATCAGCCGTCGAAGACCTGGAACATACTTATCGTTGAATATCATACTCGGAATAGCTGAGTATGGTTTTACTTCAGTGATCTCAATACTCACTAACTTTAATATGAAAATCGAACGTACAAATCATTTTATTTCATTGTTCGAATAAAGGAACGACTAACTATAGAGATGTAATTTCGTCTGTATTAGGGAGAAAACATCAAACCAACTGCATGACCGCTAGTTCGTTAATTTTGAACCTGATGTACAAAAAAACTTCTGGATGAAAATTATATCAGGGTGCTTTCAAAGAGGAAGACCGATTGATAGCCATGACCGCGATTCTTAGTGATAATTGCCATTTTAACTTTTGAGTGACTGAACATCGTGAGGTGAACCAAGCGACTGTTTATGCCGACCTCGTTGATTTCTTTCTTAGCTGGTAAAATTTACGAGTACACCATATCAGATACTTGATTACCGAGCTTAATGCTAGCCTCCGTGCTAGCCCTAAACTTGACATCGCGGGACATAAATCAGCAACTCCATCGATTTTTAGATTAATTGTCCCCGTTGTTGCATCATTTTTTCCCACACTTTTTACCTTTTGCTTGAAGGAAGCACTATCGAGGAAACATTCGAAGGAATTTCGAAACCGGAAGTTGACGAAGGAAGGAAAAAATTTGCTCGCTTGATAAACTGTATTATTCATCTCAACGACAAAAACTTTCAAAGAGACCTTCTTGAGTTGAACTCAGCGCTCACTGGGCAGTTACCTTAGTTCTTGTTTAGGTTAAGAACAAGGAAATATATCAATAAAAGCTTTTAGGAGGTGGTAGGTGAGAGACTATTTCCGATCCTGGAAGCCGTGAACCGTAAGCGTAGGCTTAAATAGGTGGAACGATTTGACCGATAATTCTATTCGATTGCCATGGGGAACCCTCTCCAGGGTTCCTTTTCAGAGAATAGTTACTCATCGGCTTACTCTGATAGAATTCACGGACCTCCATGCCTTTAACCATACTACACTGATGGGAACTTCTGGAAAGCTCCACTGTAACCGACCTTATGATACCTTATGAGATCTTATGATAAACAGTCAGAGAATATAAACAGCTTCTATTATCCGCCAACGTCTCATTAATGTTTTGTTTTGATTTGCCCTAGCGAGGTTTGGATGGATTTTAATCAAGGCACTTAAAACACTTGGTAGAAAAAATTAATTAAAGCTCGTTGCGTGTCTTTTGTGATTTAAAATTATCTTCAAGTTGTAAACTCAACAAAGGCAGCTTTGTTTCAGTTCGTCTCGAAGTCAGGTTAAGTGTGGGGATTCCCCGAATTCAAATCATGACGAAGATAATTTACTCCACACTGCATCTAGCTTTTGGAGGCTTTTATTACTTGTACTGCAACATCCTAAACCGCACTGGGATAGCACTGACTACTTTGTACCGCGGTCGAAGATAAACAGTAACAAAATAGCAAAAAAGAGACTTTATTCTTACGTAGTCTGGCGCATTAGTTGACATTATTTCGGACTTATTATGCAAATCAATTATCTTCAATTCGCAAGCATTTGTTTATATTGCATAGAAACAACAGGATATTTCAATTTTCTTACTCTCTTCCAATCAATCATTTTTGCTCTTTCATTGAAGTAATGCCTTCCTCAAGTACTCCTGGGACGATCAGACAACTAACAAAGCCGGAATACAGAAACTGGCTTGCTCTCGGTCATGCATTAACAACAGAGCTTCGTCACGGTCTTCGTCCTTTTGTTACCCGTGAGATGGAGACATTTTATAGAAACATGTCTGCAAGGGTCGCTGGACCCTGCACGTGCGTCCACATCCTGAGAAGAAGACCAAACCAGTACCACGACATGAGGACCTGTCAGTGGGCTCTCATCCTTCAGGCACATCATGACAAAAACAGGCCAAATTGGAAACAAAGTGACAGTAGGAAGTGGATAGATCCAGTCTTGGGTCCCTGGGAAATAGCCAAGCTCTTCCTTCCTGATCTGGGAGGACATGCAGACATTAAGAGCGCAGACGACATGGACATCGCTGGTATCCTAAACCTGATGTACTGGTGCAATCACTTCATTGTTCCACAGCCCTTGATCAAAGCCGTTCGTGACACTCGAAATGACAAGTGGGTGCATGTGCCACAGTTAGAGTTAAGTGATGCGGACAAGAGAGTCGCCTTTGATACGATTGAAAATATGCTTCAGGATCCCAGTATATCTCCCGATCCTGACGTTCAGCAAGCCCTGAGAGAGGTTAACAACCTAAGACACGTTTCAGACCTGCAGAGTATGGAGGCGCAAGTGTTAGCCGACTTAAAAGAAGTTTTGACAAAAGAGATTTCTAGCATCAATAACAATTTGACAATGTTGATGGAGGAGTCCGCCAGGAACAAAGAGCAGCAAAACCAGCTCCAAGAACAACATGAGATTCTAAAAAACAAACTCGATGATTTAAATTTGACAAGATTACCTGAAGATAATCAAACCTGGCCTATTATATTCGGAAACCTGATAGGAAACTTGATAAGAAGCATGCGCGTGAGAAAAATCCACCTAAAATCATGGTTCATATTAATGCTTCTATGTCACCTCTGTATTATTTTAGAGGATTCTTACGACGGAGATGGTAAGTAGATAAAACTTTAAATCGCAACATAAAAGTTCTATTCGGCTGAGGGAGGTCTGTAGGCAGCGCTCGCAGTCCTGTTTTTTCAGATGTATTAAGTGTAGCTACGATGAAACACGGTAAACAAAACACACGATTTCGGCTACGGTTTAATACGAAAAACTTCCCTTAACAACAACGGTTACATTACTTTTCCACTCGAACTTAAACCCTGCTTCACCTTTTTAACCGCGTGCTCGCACTTTTTCTATAAAACTGTCAATCAAAAAACTAAACCCGAAGATCATGTAAAAAGACTGAAATCTGATGATTACGAAACATACTGAATTGCGTGACGCGTGTCACAAGTCTTAAAAGGTCTCTTATCCATTTAATAAAGCCATTCGCTAGGTTGGTAAATGTTTTGGAGCCATGCTCGACGTTGCCTCGGGATCAGGGTCACTGAGTAAATTTAAAAAATAAAGAAGCCTTGACTGTGTTCTGTTCTGTTGTAAG